CCCCACTAATTCACTAAGTCTTTGAATAATACATTGCTTACAAAGAAAATAATCAATAATATTTTGCCAGTTAAATTAGTGAAAAGTGGGTTAGAAATAGAACATTTCCTATTTATTATAAATCAGTATAATGTAGTAGAATCCTGTTGTTTCGAGTTTATAGAAGGCATATGACTCATTCCTAGGTAAAGGGTTGCCACACATGTGAAAGGCATGTAAAATAATGTGAACAGTAATAGCAGATTGATGTAGAGTCTTTAACTCTTAAAAGTATAGTAATAGAGAGCCTGATGCTCTTTTATAAAGGGATTAAGGCATTCAGGGAGCTGCTAGTGTATTTTTTCAGAAACTCTTAATGGAATACTATTTCTTTGATTTTTGTAGGGGGGAGGTAATTATGTTTGTTTATTTTTCTGTAGAGATACTTAGGATTGAATCGAGGACCTCATCGTACTAAGTATGCACTCTGCCACTGAGCTATACCCTTCCCTCTGTGATTTTCTTGTAATGTTACTAAAATACTCTTCCCAGAAATCAGACACATCCTGCAGGCTATATGCAAGGCAGCCACTAGGCACTGGGTGAGGCTGTATTTTGGAAAAATTGCATAAACAGTAAAGAAATCACTAAGGCATTAAAGAATAGTACATATTTTATTGATATTTGAAAGCATTCCAAAAGGACAGTGAATTTTGAGTAAGGATGTTTCTGAGCATATACTTAGTCTCTTTCTGGGACTTTGACATAAGAAGACATTTTCAAAACCTGTACCCAGCTGATGCAGTCTGGTATTTGAGAATGAGATGTACAAGAGCTCACATTTCATAAGGACAGCTTCATCTGTGATGTGTGTTACCCCAAACATTGCAGTCTCAAATGCATGCACAAAAGAAGGACCGGTTTTCAGTGGCCACTGTCACCATATGAACCTTCAAATTTCTGATGTTAAAGGTGAGACAGTTATGTGCTTAAGGATGAGCACAAAAAGAAGAAATAAGCTTTTAGCTTCCAGTGATTGAAGATTTGAAAGCTAATGACAGTTCAGTTTAGTTTGCTTTTCAACTATACCTTTTCATGCTGGTCAGACACTGGCTATCGTATCTTGTTCCTGGAGTTGGATAGCTTTCTATTGTCTTAAATTTATTCCAAAGGAGAGGGTTTCCTGGAACAGACAAATTGCAGGTGATTTATTGAACTATAAATCTTTCATTTTCTTGGAAGTTGATTAAGATTTTCAGTCTATCATTCCTCTTCTGAAAAGAAAAATTTAATGTTTTACCTTTTTGGGAGGAGTTATCAAGTAACAATCATTATTTGCTTTTTTTAACCTGGCAAAGCACAATATATAAGTACTGTTTGTTTTACATAGAACTAAACTTGCTTGCCTTGGAATATTACTATTTGCCAAGTTGATTTTTTAAACTTTTTTTTATTGAGCTGTAGTCATTTTACAATGCTGTGTCAAATTCCAGTGTAGAGCACAATCTTTCAGCTGTACACGAACATACATACATTCATTGTCACATTCTCTTTCTCTGTGAGCCACCACAAGATCCTGTATACACTTTCCTGTGCTACACAGTACAATCCTGCCTATCCATTCTACATTTTGAAATCCCAGTCTGTCCCCTCCCACCCCCATCCCTCTGGCAACCACAAGTTTGCATTCTATGTCTATGAGTCTGTTTCTGTTTTGTATTTATGTTTGTTTTTTTTTAGATTCTGCATATGAGTGATCTCATATGGTATTTTTCTTTCTCTTTCTGGCTTACTTCACTTAGAATGACATTCTCCAGGAGCATCCATGTTGCTGCAAATGGCATTATGTTGTTGATTTTTATGGCTGAATAGTATTCCATTGTATAAATGTACCACATCTTCTTTATGCAGT